GGTACCACCTACAGACGCCCAGAGGTATGTGTGTTGGGAAGATGAATGCAAAGGGCAAACAGACGCTTCCAGAGGTCTTGACCCTTCACACTCCTTCTTGCCTAGGACAGCTTTTTCCTCAGGATGAAGCAATTCAATGGAGGAAAAGCCCACACCCCCACAAAGCCAAGGTCTCAAATGTGCAAAGTAGGGACCACCCAGTGAGGGGTGAAGCAGCTGCTTCTCTTAGCAATGAAGCTGTTTTTCCAGAACCTTCTGGAAAAAGGTTAAGCATTGCCTTTTCTCCCTGTATGTGTCCTCCTATAAGGTGGAGATCAGCAGGACCTCTGTGCTGCCATCCTTTCTCCTTCCATAGTGGCCCAAACTGGCAGAGCTGGGAGGGAGGGTCCATCAGGTATGATTGTTTTAAAAGCGTGCTCACCCGTCTGTGCAGGCAGCTTGATGAGGCCTCTCCCCTCATGGGGTCAGGACCACCTTGGAGCTAAGGCCAGGGAAGCCCTCCTTGCCTATGTCAGCAGGACCCCTGTAATGTGCACAGATAGTAAGCTGCAGACACATGCATTTCTCCTATGTCAATCTTCACTAAAGGGTCAGGGATGTAGTGGACATTGGTGGTTCTGGAATGTCCAGCATCCATCCTTCCCCCTGGCTAAAGCACATTGACTCCCCTCTGGAGAACTCCTTCCCGTTCATTGATGTGGGAAGTACTATTGTCCCCACCCCACCCCACCGTGGAAGAACCAAGAGCCAGAGCCTCCCTCAGGCCCATGCCGGTGGGCTGGGGAGCTGCAGGCCACACGACCTAGGGCAGGACTGGAAGCTGGTGACAAGCAGCTGGTTGTTGGGGCAGATGGAGGCCATCCCCCACAGGCCCTGCCACTGACCCCTGCATGGCGTCTACGGCCTCACCTGCCAGGGCTGCCTGGGGTGCTGTGTTCCAACCAGATCTTCCATCCACATGAGCAGCCCCCTTCTGGTAAATGCCCTTTTGCCTGTTCCTCACAATCAGGATCCTGGTCTGCTGAAATGGGCTCATGCAGACTGAGCAGGGAAAGTATTTTTTAACAGAACCCCAAACTCCGCTAGCTACCTCAGAGGTTCTCCAAATGAATCGTTCGAATTTCACTTTGAAATCTATTGTAGGGGCGCCTGGGTGGCTCAGTCATTAAGCGTCTGCCTTCGGCTCAGGTCATGGTCCCAGGGTCCTGGGATCGAGCCCCGCATCGGGCTCCCTGCTCGGCGGGAAGCCTGCTTCTCCCTCTCCCACTCCCCCTGCTTGTGTTCCTGCTCTCGCTGTGTCTCTCTCTGTCAAATGAATAAATAAAATCTTAAAAAATAAATAAATAAAAATAAAAATGAAATCTATTCTAAGCTACTTTTTAAGACAGTGGTTAAAACGTTTACAACAACAAGTTACCTTTGTGGGGAGAGTGGCTGGGAGGGGGCATGATGGAACCTCTGAGGGGGCTGATGACATTCCATACCTTAATCTGAGTAGTGGTTTTGAGGATACAGGCATATGATTGTGATGCCACTGAACTACACACTTAAAAATGGTTATGATTTTATGTGTAAATTTTATGGTATATACATTAACCACCATTTGAAAAATAGGTTCAAAGAGAATTCAAAATGCTGCTTTAAAACTATTTCAATAAATACAAGATAAACTAAAAAAATAAAAAGCACAGGCATAAATTAAAAATCCACCAAAATTTGTACCCTTTGTTGTATGTGAGTTTGTACCTGAATCAAACCAAGAAAGCAAACAAAAAACACTATTATGTGCCAAATTCTAAAACATAGGCAATCCCCAAGCTTCCAGTTTCTCGAGGTGCCACATTATCCCATTTTCTGCAAAACCGAGGGCACAGCCCCTCCTGCTAGAGCCTGACCCTGAGATCCGAAGATAGCTGTTCAAAATCTCTTAGCACTGGCAACCACATTATCTATGTGATTCAGATTGTTTTTCCATTCTGTGGAATCAAAACAAATACAAAAATAAAATGGACAGCTGGAATGACAAAATTATAGAGTTGGAAAACAGATACATGGTGGCCAGGGGTTAGGGAAAGGGGGGAGGGAGAAGGACATTTACAGGAGCAGCCCAAGGGAGCTGCTTGGAGGTGATGGACCAGTTCTGCTCCTGACTATCTTGGTGGTTGGATGAATTTACATACGTAACAAAATGGCATGGAGCCATATGTAAAAACATACCCCGAAACGGTTTCCTGCACAAACCGGTGAAACCTGAGTAGGATCTGTAGTCTAGCTCATTGCACTGTGCCAATCAATTCCCCGGTTTTGGAAATACACTACGGTTACATAAGATGCAACCATGGGAGAAAGTAGGGTGATAGGTACAACAGACTTCTCTGAACGTCTTTGGCAACTGTCGACGATGCTATAATTATTGCAAAATAAAAGGTAAAAAAAAAAAAAGTACAGAAATAAATTGGATGAGACTGCTATAAGCCTGTCATAACCCCAGCTTTCAATTTTTCTCTTCATGGCATCACCACCGTTCTTATGAACCGACTTGATAATAAGTACAAATAAATTATGGCATGTTAAAACAAAAGTACCATGTAAGTTTTTTTGTGTTTTTTGTTTTTTTTTTTTTAAGGAAGGGATTCATTTCCTTCGTAGAAGCTGAAAATCACCAAGGTATTGGAAAGAGCATGCAATAAGAAGTACAAGACAGGGCTGGTTCAGCCTTGAGCTAAGCGGCTGTCACATAAAGAATGATTACAGCTGGTCCATGCAATTAAAAGATTTTGTGGAGGAAATGAGACACATACGCACCCGGGAGGTCACACAAGGACATAAGATTTCACCAGCAGTATGCAAAGTGTCAAATGAGTAGTGTTATGGACTGAAGGGTGCCCCCCCCCTGAAATTCATATGTTGGAGTGCTAACCCCCGATGTAAATGTGTTTGGAGACAGAGTGTTTAAAAAGGTGATTAAGATTAAATGGGGTCATGAGAGTGGGGCGCTAATCTGACTGGAGTCCTTGTAAGAAGAGGTCATCAGGACACAAGCACACACAGGGAAGGCCGCGTGGAGACACAGGGAGAAGGGAGCCATCTGCAAGCCAAGAGGAGAGGCCTCCAGAGAGGCTGACTGGGCCAACACCTTGATCTTGGACTTCCAGCCTCTAAAACTGCGAGACAAATTTCTGTTGTTGACGCCGGCCGGTCTATGGTGTTTTGTTAGAGTAACCCCAGCAGGTGAATATAAGTACCAAGGTGACATGGTGTAGAAGAAAGAAAGACAGAACTAGCTGTCTGCTCTTCAACAGGGAGTCTGAAATAGAGTACGTAATCACAATGAATGGTTGATAGGAAAGTTGTATACTCAAAAGAAAAAAGAGCCAGCTATAAATCCATATGGAAGAAAACCATGTGACAAAAATGCTGGTTGTTCCTTCATCTGCATTCAGATTCATTTGTTCGTTCATTCATTCAATCAATTAACAGCGGTGACTGGGCCGGGCACTGAAGGACACACAGGTGAAGGGCTCGGAGTCTTTCAGGGAAGGCGTACAGGCATGGGCAATGCGATGGGTCAGCATCTCCTCGGGGGCGAGCCTGCAGCAGGGCCCCCCCCCCCCCCGGCACAAGCACAGAAGCTGACTCGTGAACACGGGGAAAGAACACCACTCCTCAAGACACAACATGCTTTCGCAGCTCTGTCAACAGACAGAGCTCAACCCGCACTGGTCTAGCCCCAACCAGATTTCGACGGGTTTCGACGGGCGTCGGCTCTCCCTCTGTTGAAGCCCATTTCACGTTGCTTAGTGTAGTGATTCCTTTCTGGAGATGGCCCCCAGAGAATGAAGCATGGATTGGTTGGTCAGTTTTTGACACCTGTCTCTCGCATTTGTTTAGGGGATTGATGAAATAGAACATAAAAAAAAAAAAAAAACACATTTTGTAAACTCTAAAATGGGACATGAATGCTAGCTAGCATTATGCTAGATTTTGAAGGGCCTTTTAAGTCACCTAGTGCAAAATGATCGTTTTTATGAAGATTTACCCAAGATCACCCAGCTCGTATGTGGCTGAGCCAGAGCGAAGGGTTACCCACTGCTAGGACTCCCTAGGAAGCATGGGTTTTTAAACATTTGAATCCCACAATAATATGTATTTGTTGATCCTATACTGTTTTCCTGCAATTCTAAGCACATCACATTCAGAATCTTGCTCTTGGTGGTGCCATATTTTGAGCTCCTGGAGAATAAACGTTTGTGCCATCACGGTCACAATTAGAAACCGTCTTGGTGTTTCCTCTGTTAAGCAAGCACCCTATTCCTATGCTCAAAGACTGGTTCCAAGTGGAAATCTATGACCTGTCAAGAACAAGCCAGATACCAAGGAAGGTAGGACAGAAGGTAAAATGGCAAAAAGGGAAAAGCTGGTGGAGGAAGTGAAGGTAGAGGAGGGAGGGAGGGGAAGAAGGAAAACGTGCCTTGCCGTGTTGTGTGTCAGTCTCGGGACCTTGTAACCAGAAAGCAATGAGCCTGGTGCCCAGCCTGGTGGAGGAGACCGGCCTCACACCTGCACAGTCCCACCTCACCGCTTAGGACACTGGTAACGATCATCCGCGTGCACGAGAACGAACCGGGAAGCTCTCATGATAACGGTGTAACTCTGCGGGGTCCCCCGCCTGCATGAGTGGCCAAGAGGCTCAGAGCCAAGTGTGCCCCCAACCACAGTCACCTTGAGGCAGCCTGGAGGCACCTCCCATGGGTTTAACTTTTCATATCTTCCCTATTCAACATCCGTCTTGATGCCTTCTGCCGTGAGCAACCTCAACACTTATCAGGAACAAAAGATGAAGTCACTTCAAGTCAAAGAACCAGTTTACAAGAAAAGGGGCCACAGGAAAGACAGGGTTTGTCTGAGGACAGCTCCTCTGGACTGGAAGTGCTACCAGGTCTCCAGATCATAACGGGGTTCAGCAGCCCCCTAAATTATTATTCTGCTTCCCAACTTACCAACGGTGTCACACGGTTCGTCTTTGTGTACGCAGAAATCTGTCCTAAAAAAGGAACACAAAGACAGACATGGTCAGGTGTATGCAGTAGCCCCCAAGAATGGGAGAAGAAAATACTATCCGCTAAGCTTGACTGGTCGTCCTGCCCATAGCAAGGTTACTGCCGAAGCTGTCACAGGTCAGCCAAGAACAACAACTAGCCATTTGTCAAGAGTAACGCATCCACAATGTTCCCAAATGGGAGGCCCTCCTTTCGTAGCTAAACTCCACCTAACACTTGGTTGCTGGGAGGGCTCCCTCCAACAACTGTGAAAGTTCTGGAAGAAGAGGTGTTTGCAAGTCCTGCATCAGAGACAATTACTCTTCAATATCATCAAACTATAGTGACTACCCCAAGCGACTCTACGTGGGCAACAACTGGCTTTAGATGCTGAAGTGAGCACGTAGCACTTATGAGAAGACCATGGAAAGTGATTTCTTAAAGTTAGATCCTTTAAAGCTTCCCAGGATTCCCCCGCCCCCCCCCGTGTGTGTGTGTGGTTGTGTGTGAAGAGCAAATATGCTCAAAAGCTGGTCCAGCCCCAGAGGTGGCCTCTAGCCACTCGTGTTTGAAATAATAGGTCTGGGCCCTTTTTTTCCCAAAACCAGAGCATTCCCACAGTTAGGGGCTGACCTGATCACCGGTTGCCTGGGACTGGGCAAGGGAGCAGCAGTCTGGTCCTCCCTCTCCCCACCCCAGGGCCCCATGCTCATCTGCTCATGGGGGCCCTGGGGAGCTGACAGAAAATCCCCACTCCCTTAACCTCCTTTAGGTTTAGAAGGTGTGTTCTGAAGCCACTTCTTCTCATGCTGAAGTTCTTCTGGGAAGGAAGATGGGGCCAATCAGACAAGGTGAGCACTAAGCCCAGTTGTGAAAGAAAGTGGCAGGTCCGGGCTGGGCCACTTTTCCCCTTTCTGACACCCTGACATCAGGTCAACTCCTCAGTTCCTCCCCTACCCTCTGTCAAAATCTCTTCTCAGGGAAGGCTCTGACCTGCCATTCACAGTGGGCATGATGACAGATAAGGCAATGTGTCACTCTCCTAACCTAACTCTGTATGGTCATCTTTCCTTCTCCCTCCGCGTCAATCCCATTCAGATGCACAGCATGTTCTGTCGTATTTGCCTCCAAATTGTGACCCACACCTGACGCCTCTCAGCAGAAATGGGGCAGAGCTTGTCTGTTCCCAACGCTGGCTTGGCTTCAGGTTCACCTGAGGTTCAGGCTCACCTGAGCTTTGTCAAAGACTCCACCCGCCTACTCAGACCCACAGATTCTCCTTGGGCTCCTGATCTACAGAACCAGATGCACTGGCCGGCCTGCAAGCCCAGAAGAGAAGAGGGGGCAGCTTTGAAGGCGTGGCCCCAAAACTGCCCAGAGAAATGCCGAGGAGGAGCTGGGGCCAACCCCACACAGGTTCTGCTCACTGCAAGTTTCTAATTTTTTCGTAACAAACCTATATGTTTTGATAATCAATTTGAAGACCGTTTTAACAAAGGAAAAAAGGAAGCCTTCAAGAATCCCACATTTGGAAAAAAAAAAGAACCCTACACTTGTCACAATCCCACTCCAAAACCACAGGAACTTGCAGGGAAAGGGAGGGGGGATAACTATAGGAGCCATAAAAGGAAGCCTTGATTTTTTCTGTCAAAGATAACTTTTTAATGTTTTTCTATTCTTTGGGTAAATACCCAGCAGTGAGAATACAAAAACACTAATTCAAAGGGATACATGTACCCCTATATTTACAGCAGCATTATTGACAATAGCCAAGATATGGCACAACCCAAGTGTCCATCAATAGATGAAGGGATAAAGATGTGGTGTGTGTATATGCAAGCACACATGCACGCACGCACACACACACACACAATGGAATATTACTCAGCCATCAAAAAGAATGACATCTTGCCATTTGCAATGACGTGGATGGAGCTAGAGAGTATAATGCTAAGTGAAGTAAGCCAGTCAGAGAAAGACAAAATGTGATCCCACTCATACATGGAATTTAAGAAACAAAAGAAACGAGTAAAGGGAAAAAGAGAAACAAACCAAGAAACAAGACTTTTTTTTAAAAGATTTTATTTGACAGCGAGAGAGAGAGAGAGAGCACAAGCAGGGGGAGCAGCAGAAAGAGAGGGAGAAGCAGGCTCCCCGCTGAGCAGGGATCCTGACGTGGGGCTCGATCCCAGGACCCTGGGATCATGACCTGAGCCGAAGGCAGACGCTTAACCGACTGAGCCACCCAGGCGCCCCAAGAAACAGGCTCTTAACTAGAGAGAACTGATGGTTACCAGAGGGGAGGTGGGTTGGGGGATGGATGAAACAGGTGACAGGGATGAAGGAAGGCACTTGTGATGAGCACTGGGTGATATATGGAAGTATTGAATCATTATATTATATACCTGAAACTAATATAACACTAACACTGTAAGTTAACTAACTGGAATTAAAAACTCAAAACAAAAGACCTTTTAAAGGACTAATTAACAGTCAGTAGGTGGCGAGGAAGCAACAGTGGCACAGAGAAAACCAAACAAATAAAATTAGGGACATAAATATTCTCACTGCTCTGGTATCTATCTGACCCCAGCTCAACACTGTTGATCGGACACCCCCTCCCACTTGAATGTTTCGAACGTCACACACACACAAAGATCAAGGTGGCCCAACACCTTGCTCTAGGGTTTCCCAGAGTGAACACAACTAAATCCTGGGCAAAAGGAGAAAGCGCATGTGACCATCAGTCCCACAGTCAAGAACTAAATAGAACTGAGTAGAAGATGGTGCCATCTTGGAGAAAGTGCCATCTTGGAGAAAGCCAACCCTGTTGGCTGACAGGAGCTCTGTGTGTTCTCTCATCCCATGGCTTCTCTGAAGGGAAATAGGTGGTCTCAAATGATGGGCCCTGCAACATCATCCATTGCTTCTCCTGAGGAAGTGGGAGGAAGTGTGGTCTTGCTCACGGAGGGGAGAGCCAAGCTCAATTAGAAGCCTGGCTTGAAAGGGTCAGCCAAGATTTGAATCTTCTCTCTCCTTCCTGTTCAAGGTCCTTTCTCAGAACACACAAGCCCTTTGCCTACAGGGGCAGCTTCATCTCCAGGTAATCCTGCACCCACTGCAAACTCATGCCAAACCCACATGCTTGGGTTCAAGTTGGGTCCTGACGGAGCTCTCCTGTCTCTAGTCCATTTACTTTCCACTGCTTGTTCCTCAAGAGTAGGCAGGCTGTGTGGACCTCCAGGACCTGGCGCACTTTGTGGGTGCATGAGCTGTGTGCACAAAAGCTTCCCATCCCCCGACCCGGTTTACTGCTCTACTACTGTCATCTTGAAAGTCTTTTTAACATGGGCTCCCCTACTTTCATTCCGCAATGGGCCCCACAATTTATGTAGCTAATTTGTGCATAACTGATTGCCTGGCATACAGTTGGGGCTTAATAGTGGCTCCTTTATTACTGACGGAAATACATTTCCAGACCACTTTCAACTTGCCGTGCGAGCTTACCAGTGGCCTTGTCTCCGCAATGTTTGGAAACCTGAAAAAAATGTAATGCGATGGTCCAGATACTCACTGAGCTCTCACCGTGAGCTAGGCCTGCAAGAGACCCCCTTGGTCAGAGGCTGAAGAGAAGACCATTCCTGGGGAGCGGGATGGAATGACATGGAGGGGAAGGTGGAGGGACATCTGGAGGTGTACCTGTGGCGGAGCCCCGAGCTGGCCCTGCGGGTTTGCTCCCGGTGTCTCCCAGGAGCACAGACCTGGGTTTGGGGAGGGGTGAAATCCCTCCCTCGTGGCTTCCTGCAGGAGATGCAGGGCCAAAGGTAAAGCGGTGCCAGGTGCTGAAGGCCTCCGGACCCCAGTCCTCCACATGGGTGCCATGTGGTCCCCAGCCCCCGTCCACTCAGAGGTGTTTTCTAGCCCCAGACACGGCTGCAGCTGCCAGGAAGCCAGCTTCCGTGGCTTCTGGCTCAGCAGCTTCTGCTGGACATGATGTCACACTCACATCTCTGTGGCTGGCCATCTGGAGGGCTGGTGGGCGTCCAGGAGAGAATGCACTCTTGGGCTCAGCCACAGCCCATAAGGAAGGGGGGGAGGCGAGAAGAAACCCTTGCTTTGGCCAGCGTCAGTCCCAGGACTGGGGAACACCGGCCCCTCAACCCCGTCTCAGCTCAGATTACTCCGGGAGGAAAGAGCTGCTTCTCAAGAGCAGCACGTGAAAACCCAATTTCCACATGAAAACATCAGCCCCTTGTTATCCCAACCTGGCGAACTGCAGCTCGCAGCCTCTAATTATTAAACAATGCCTCTCGGCCAACTCGGCTCCCAGCCCTGACTCCAGCGCTGCCTTCCCCCGTCCTGCTGGGAGGTCTTCAATTTCACAGCTGGGAGGACCCAGAGAGCGAGCTGGGCACTGGCCCATTCAGCCCAGCGGCTCCGCAGAAGCAGGTAAGAGGAAGAAGGAGCACTGAGGTAGCTCACCAGAGGTCATCGCGAAAAGGAGAAAGAAAACCCCAGCTCCCGGGCTGGCCTCAGCTTACCGAGATGCAGGAGGCCTTTTTGTTGGCTCTGCCTGCAGCAGAAGGAACCTTGCTCTTGGGGGCCTCCAGACATGCCCCTCCCTAGCACCTGCGCTCAGAACCAATCCCATGCATTCGGGACCACCCCCTAAGGGCTTAATTAGAAAAATTTTCAAACTGTCTTATTGTGATAAAATACGCATAACACAGAACTTGCTATCTTCAACATTTTTAGGCATACGGTTCGGTGATGTTCAACGCATTTATAATGTTGGGCGACCAATCTCCAGAACTCTTTTTCATCTTGCAAAACTGAAACTCTATCCATCAAACTTCCTATTCCGGGGCGCCTGGGTGGCTCAGTCGTTAGGCGTCTGCCTTCGGCTCGGGTCATGGTCCCGGGGTCCTGGGATCAAGCCCTGCATCGGGCTCCCTGCTCGGCCGGAAGCCTGCTTCTCCCTCTCCCACTCCCCCTGCTTGTGTTCCCTCTCTCGCTGTGTCTCTCTCTGTCAAATAAATAAATAAAATCTTTTAAAAAAAAGCCTCCCTATTACTCCTCTCTCCAGCTCTACACCCTGTTCTCTATGAATTTAACTGCTCTAGGGGCCTCAGATAACTGGAATCATACCCTATTTGGCTTTTTGTGACTGGTGTATTTCACTCAGCATAACGTCCTCCAGGTTCACCCAGGTTGTGGCCTGTGACAAGATGTCTTTTCTTTATAGGGCTGAATAATATTCCACTGTATGCATAGCCCATATTTTGTTTACCCATTCGTCCATCAAAGGACACCTGGTTGCTTCCACATTTTAGCCATTATGAGTCATGCTGCCGTGAACATAGGTACACACATATCTCTTTGAAACCCTCATTTCAATGCTTTTGGGTCTACACTCAGAAGTAGGATTGCTGGAGCAAAGGGTAATTCTGCATTTAGTATTTTGGGGATGCATTTAATATTTCCCACCAACAGTGTGCAAGGGTTCCAGTTTCTCCACATCCTGACAATGCTCATTATTTTCTGTCTTGTTTTGTTTTGGGTAGAAGCCCAAACCTAATGTAACCTAATAGGTGTGCGGTGTAAAGAAATACTGACATTTTTATACACAATATTTCCAGTACAGTAAATAAGTTTGTTGGAGGCGGGAAGCAGAAAAGAAAGCCAGAAAAAAAAAAAAAGAAAAAAGAAAGCCAGGAAACCTGACAGCCTTCTCAGGCCAAGGGTGCATTCACGTCTGCCGTCAGCATTTTGTGGAAAGGCTAATCCAGAAGTTTTGTCAACACTGATTTCAGTAACACTTACTGCCTCTGAAAAATAAAGGGGGGGGGCTACTCGTTCCCAAACCAAGACCACTTGCAAGCGCAACCTCAACCCAGACAAGGAATGAAACTGCAGGCAAGAGACGACATCGGGAAAGGTCTCACAAACACCATAATTTGTACATTTTATCTAGTTTTGGTATGAACCACTTTCAAAGTAGTGACCTTGGAAGTTTAGTTGTACATTCCAAAGATGATGTTATTTAGAGCTCTTCTCTAGGACCTCACTTAATCAGCATTTGGAAAATCAGTCGTGCAAATTTACAGTCGTACGTGGACATGGCTCCCAAAAACTCTTCCCTGCTCCCCAAATCAAATCCCCTCTCAAAGGGTGCTACCTATCACCCCAACACTGCAATCCTCAGGCCCCACAGGCTCCAAAAACCACTTCAAAGTGCCTGGAGCCATGGCAACCTCTGGCCAGTGAGCACGAGGCAGGGGGAGGGGAAGCAGAGCCACTGGGGGAGGTGGGCTCCCAGCACTCCCTGGGATGGGCAAACCCAGATCAAAAGCAAGAACCGGCTCCTGCTCATCGCTTGTCCTTGGTGCCTGGTAGGGTACCACCCGGATGGCAGGCAATCAGAATTATTGAATAGATGTCTTCTCCTATGTCCCATTATACATTTAAATCACATCCTGTAAAAGCAGCAAATGCTCTCAGAAGGGATCAGTGCACTACAGAGTACATTTTAACCCTTTGGGGTGGGCGACTGATGCATCATCCACAAGGGTGATGAGCTATGTGTCTGGTGTCTGGCGGTAGCAATGCCCATGTTCTGGGTTTTTTAAAGAGGAGAAGGTTAGGCAGTTGCATTGCCTGGCGCCTGGGGATAAGGTGCCAGAACTTTCCCAGCCAGCTTCGGAGCATCATTGGGCCAGGGGCTTACAGTACATGGCTCAAGAGATACACCAGAGGGTCTTTCTGGCCCCTCTTAGAGGGGCAGGCTGTCTCAAGCTACCAGAATGGTAAAGTGCTCCTTTCTATAGCTTTATGTCTGAACTCAGGAGAAAAAAAAAGAAATATATAATTTGAGAAGTAGTTCCCTTAAATTAATTTTAAAAATTCCTTAAAACTCACAATGGACAGATTCATAGCAAGTCTAATAACATTTTGATATTTTAATCTGACAGATTAAAATTATCAAGAAACACTTCTGCCTATTTTTTAAAGGGGGTTCTTGGTTTGAATACATAATGCATTCTACTTACATCGTGGAAGTAAAGGAACCCAAGCAAATCAGTTTTTCTCAGAGACGTTTGAGACATAAGGGAAAAATGAAAGAGCCACATCCATATCTGTTGTGGGTTAAATTGTGTCCCCAAAAACAGATATGTTCAAGTCCTAACCCCTGGTACCTGTACCCGTGAATGCAATCTTATTTGGAAAGACGGTCAGTGCAGGTGTAAGCAAGTTCAGATGAGGTCCCACTAGGCCAAGCTGGGCCCTAATCCAAGGACCGGTGTCCTTATGAGAAGAGGGAAATAGGGACAGAGGGAGGAGGCCACACGACAGGGTGACAGTGAAGGAGAGGCCAGAGCCATGCGTCTACAAGACAAGCGATGCCCAAGACTACAGGACACCACTGGAAGTTAGGAAGAAGGAAGCAAGGCTCCTCTCCTGGAGCCTTCAGAGAGAGCACGGCCCTGCCCACACTGTGATCTTGGACTTCTGGCCTCCAAAACAGTGCAAGAACACATTTCTGTAGTTCTAAGCCCCCGAGTCTGTGGTCATTTGTTACTACAGCCCTGGCAAGCTAAGACAATGTGACTGCTGCCTGTGTGGAAGGCTGTCTCGTTTCTGTGGTCCACGGCCGGGACCCTGGTGTCCCTCGCAGTCTGGAAAAGTCCAGCCCTGTAGTCTAGAAAGCAGCTCAGCTCCTTACTTGCAAAAGAACGTGCATGAGAATTCCCCAGGCATCTCTGCCAACCACTGTTGCCCCAGGAGTGCCCCGGGTCTGGGGCTGTGCAGAGCACATGGGTGCCTACGTGGACTCCCTCCTACAGGGAACTCAGGGTATCCACTCTCCCCCCAGTAGCACACTCAAGCCAGTTGGGAGGCAGCCTCGAACACAGGTTAGCTCTTGCCTGGTGAGCGTTATATTTGTTGCCCGGGAGAGGTAGCAGATGCATTTTCTTGGAAGTGTTAAGACTCTCGGGTAACCAGAATTTTGCTACTTTTATATTAATAATAACAACAGCAACAATTATGGCTAACACTGCATTCTTACTTTGGGCCAGGCACCGTGAAAAGCACTTCCTGTGCTCACTGAACCCTCATAACTAAGGGTTAGGTACTGTAATATATCCCCAATTTTACTGATGAGGAATCCAAGGCTCAGAGAGCTGGTGCAAGGTCTGACTTCCAAGCCTGAATTCTTAGCAAACCATCCTCTTTTCCTCTCCAAAGAGGGACATGTCTTTCCTCTGTTGCATGTGCAGCTACAGACCAAATCCAGCCTCACCTGGTAACAAATACAGCTGCGTCCACAGGGGGCGTATCATCCTTCCCTCCTGGAACCTGATTGTTGCCGAGGTACCGGGCTCCTCCGTATTCTTCATTCTGCCAGTGACAGAAGCTCTCCAGGGACCGCTCACCATGGTGCCCAATGGACAATTTGGCCTAAAAGAAATTGGGGTCGGTGGGGGCAGTTAAAGAAGCAAACACCCAGGGAAGCCGGAGTTTATGTTCGGAATATAGTGTGGAGATAGCTGCTCGCTGGGACATCATTCAGTGATGTGCTTCTCGCAAATCCAACCCTAATGCTGGTAGGAAGGTGCCCAGTCCCAGAGAGAGGCCAGGGCCTTATTTTTAAGTTCAAATGAAGACTATGTTATTAAAGAAAAATATTCTTTCTTTTCTTTTTTTTTTTGGCAAACTGAACTGTATACTCAACCAAGTATCGGTCTCTCGTTTTTCAAGTTCATTGCCCGATTCTGCAAGTAACATTATACGGGAATGCACTCAACTCAAAGAGCAGAAAACACTGCTACAGTGAATCCAAATTTGGCCTGAGGCTGGGGTATAGCTCCAGAAGTGTAGCCATGGGCTTCCAAAGACCTCACCATCTTGATTTGCATATGAGAGATGTGCCGGGAAGGTTGGAGGGAGGCACACAGGCTCAGTGCTCAGGGTTCCCTCAAAATTCCAAGCAGAACATGTGCACACCAAGCTTCTAGTAACAATACCTGCCCTGCTCCCATTGGACATCCCCAGTCCATGACCCAGGGCACACAGATGCCATCTGCAAAGCCTGGGAGGGCAGATAAGACTGACAACCACCTACACTCCTCCTTAGCACTCCACAGCAACTAGGAAACTTCCAGACCAGTTACGCCGTCTATGTGCTCTGGTGGGCGTCCATGGGGACTTACAGGCCGTTGTCGTAGCAGGACGAGCTTGGTAACTTGAATGTTCACCTTACTTCCAAGGCTCTGGTGCTGAAACATATTGTATACCTGTCAAGACAGAAAAAAGAATTAATGACATAAATATAAAAATTAATAAAAATACAGTGGTATACTGGGCGCCTGGGTGGCTCAGTTGGTTAAGCGACTGCCTTCGGCTCAGGTCATGATCCTGGAGTCCCGGGATCGAGTCCCGCGTCGGGCTCCCTGCTCGGCGGGGAGTCTGCCTCTCCCTCTGACCCTCCCCCCTCTCATGCTCTCTCTCTCTCTCTCTCATTCTCTCTCTCAAATAAATAAATAAATAAAATCTTTAAAAAAAAAAAATACAGTGGTATCCTGAATGGGATCCTGGAACAGACAGAAGATGTTAGGTAAAAACTAAGGACATCCGCATTAACTATTGACTCTAGTCAATAATAATCAGTCAGAATGCCAAAAAAATAATCCAATGGGCAGAGGACCTGAACATTTTTTCAAAGACGACATAGAAAATGGCCAATAGACACATGAAACAATGCTCAATCATCAGGGAAATACACATCAAAACCAAAATAAGATACAACCTTACACCTGTCAAAATGACTAGCATCAAAAAGACAAAAATAACAAGTGTTGCTGAGGATGTGGAGGAAAAAGAACTCTCATGAACTGCTGGTGGGAATGTAAATTGGTGTAGCTACTGGGGAAAACAGTATGGAAGTTCCTCCAAAAAGTAAAAATAGAATTACCGTATGATCCAGTAATTCCACTACTGGGTATTTACCTAAAGAAAATGAAAACACTAATTTGAAAAGATGTATGCACCCCTATGTTTATTACAGTATTATTTACAATAGCCGAGAAGGTATGGAAGCAGCCAGAGTGTCGATCGATAGATGAATGCATAAAGAAGTAGTATACATATATACAATAGAACATTCCTCGGCCATAAAAAAGAATGAGATCTTGCCATTTGTGACAAAATGGATGGACCTCCAGAGTATGATACTAAGTGAAATAAGTCAGAGAAAGACAAATACCACATGATTTCACTTATATGTGGAATCTAAAAATGAACAAACAAACAAAAACAGACTCTTAAATACAGAGAATAAACTGATGGTTACCAGAGCAGAGGTGAGTGGGGGATGAATGAAATAGATAAATGGGATTAAGAGGTATAAACTTCCATTTATAAAATAAAGAAGTCACAGAGATAAAAAGCATAGCACAGGAAATATAGGAAGACTGTAATAACACTGTTTGGGGACAGATGGTGACCACACTTACCATGGTGGGCACTGAACAATGTAAAGAATTATTGAATCAAAATGCTGTACACCTGAAATATAACACTGTATGTTAATTATGCTTCAATAAAAAATAATAATAATACATCAGTATTGGTCCGTTAGTTATACCATACTATTGTAAGATGTTAATAAGAGGAGAAATTGTGTTAGGGGAACTCTGTACTATTTGTTCAATTTTTCTATAAATCTAAAACATAAAATACAAATGACTAAAATAGAATCTTTTCATAAATAAGACAGAAATTATACTCATTAAAAGTTATATAAATTAAAAATATTAAAAACCGGGGGACAGAGCAAGATGGCGGAGGAGTAGGAAACCTGGATTCCATCTGGGCCCAGGAATTCAGCTGAATAGGGATCAAACCATTCTGAACACCTACGAACCCAACAGGAGAGCGAAGAAAAGAATAGCAACAACTCTCTGAACAGAAAAGCGACCACTTATTGGAAGGTAGGATGTGCGGAGAAGTGAATCCGAGGCGATATTCGGGAGGATAGACCGCTTCTGGCAAGTGCTAGAGCCGCGGAGCACAAAATCGGAACTTTTACAAGTCAGCTCCGCTGAGGGACGTCGCTCCAGTGGCTAAGCGGGGGGTGGAACCCTCGCGGGACAGTGTGGTCTCAGGACCCTCGGGGTCACAGAAAGACCGGGGGTGCCTGAGTGCGGCAGAGCTCCCAGGTATCGGAGCGGGGAAGCCGGCTGCAGAGACGGAGCCGAGGCGCGGGCTCTCAGTTCGGGGTTGCCATAAACTGTGATCCGCGGCCCAGTCGGGCCACTGCGCCTCCAGCAGGGACCCAACAAGCGGCAGAGCCGGGGAGACTCCCCTCCCTCCCCCGGGAGGAGCGGCGCGGGAGCGCACCGCAGGGATCTGCTGGGTTTGGAGACTCCACACGGGGTCGGGCACCAGAGATAGAAACGCTCGGTCACAGGCCGGGTGAGCACGGAGTGCGGCCGGAGACCGGGGACACGGGAGTGACTGCTTTTCTCTGGGGGCGCACTGAGGAGAGGGGCCCCGAGTTCTCAGCTCCTCCAGGCGGAGATTGGGAGGTCGCCATTTTCACTCTCAACCTCCAAAGCTGTACGAAAGCTTGCAGGGAACAAAAGCTCCCAAAAGCAAACCCGAGCAGATTACTTAGCCCGGACTCACAAGGGTGGGGCAATTCCGCCTCCGGCAAAGACATTTGGGAACCACGGCAACAGGCCCCTCCCCCAGAAGATCAGCACGAACAGCCAGCAAGCCAAGACCAAGTTTACCGATCAAGGAGAACGGGAGAACTCCAGCGCTAGGGGAATACTAAACACAGAATTCATGGCTTTTTTACCATGATTGTTTAGTCTTTCAAAGTTAATTTTTTTTATCTTTTTTTAAAATTTTTTTCCCCTTTTTCAACCAACATCTTATCAATCCCTTTTTTAAAAAAATTTTTATTTTTCATTTTTAGAGTCATATTCTATCCCTTCATAGTACTTACCCTTATTTTTGACGTACATATATAAGTTATTCTCTCTTAAAAATTTTGATACAGTTTCTTCTAATAGATCAAAACATACCCTAAATATCTAGTATATAGCTTTGTTCTAGTCTCCAGCCTGATCATATTCTCTCCCCCCCCTTTTTCTTTAAATCCTCTTCTTTCTTTTTTCAAACTTCTTATCAATTCCTTTTATAAAATTTTTATAATATTCATCTTTACAGACATATTCCATCCCTTCATTGTATCAACTCTTATTTTGTACATATATAGTCTTTCTTTCTTTAAAATTTTGGGAGGCACTTTCTTCTAACTGACCAAAATACACCCAAAATCTAGTGTGTGGCACTGATCTATGCAGCAGCCTGATATTTGATCATATTCTGTTTTTCTTTGTTTTGTTCTGTTTTTGTTTGTTTTTATCTTTTTCTTTTTTTTTTTCTCTTTCTTTTTT